ACCCTGAGGTACAGAACTTTTCACTGCACTTGGACAGCCTAACCTATCTCTGTCCCGCAGCCTAACATCTCTATCCTGCAGAGTAACATCTGTCCTGCAGCCTAACCTATCTCTGTCCTGCAGCCTAACCTATCTCTGTCCTGCAGCCTAACCATCTCACTGCCCCATAGTTATTAAAGTTGTGGCCAAACTATTAACATTACGAGGTACTTATCAGACCTGTGAGACGGAGACGTTAACACTGCCCTGAACTAAGTCAGTTGACTTTATGGCAGTTCAGCAGGTGTGTGTGTGTGTGTGTGTGTGTGTGTGTGTGTGTGTGTGTGTGTGTGTGTGTGTGTGTGTGTGTGTGTGTGTGTGTGTGTACTCACCTAGTTGTGTTTGCGGGGGTTGAGCTCTGGCTCTTTGGTCCCGCCTCTCAACCGTGTGTGTGTGTGTGTGTGTGGACACCAACCCACCCTAGCATTCATTCGTGTGAGAATAAATAGCTATTAAATTGGGACTTGGGCTATTTAATTTGAATTATTACAGATTTTGAATTAAATACATTTTTGTTTAAAATATAATATTGTTGGGTTTTATCTTCGCACTTTAATTCATTAACGAGGCTTAAGAAAAGTAATTTCTCTGGTCCCCGTGGTGTAGTGGTAAAGCACTCGCCCGGCGCTTTGCGAGCGCTTTGGCCTGGGTTCGTATACAGGTCAGAGAGGATTGACTGGGCGCCAATCCTTAACAGTTGCCTCTGTTCACCTAGCAGTGAATGGGTACCTGGTTGTTATACGATTTGACGGGTCGTATTCCGGGGAAACTTAAGATTTAGGACTTGCCCGAATCGTTATGAGTGCTGGTGGTTGTACAAGAATGACCACAATGACCGTCACACAACAACACACGAGAGGCCACAATGACCGTCACACAACAACACACGAGAGGCCACAATGACCGTCACACAACAACACACGAGAGGCCACAATGACCGTCACACAACAACACACGAGAGGCCACAATGACCGCCCTTTATCTCCACGAGAGGAACTTGAGAGGCTGGCCTCTACAGCTTCCGGGTCGTAGAGTGCTCATGCCAGGCCCCGTCACATCCATCTTTACTGGGGCAGCAACAGCAGGTAGAGCAGGGAGCAGTAGATGCAACAACAGGAAGCGGTAGATGCAACAGCAGGTAGAGCAAGGAGCAGTAGATGCAACAACAGTTAGAGCAGGGAGCAACAGAAGCAACAGCAGGGAGCAGCAGGGATCAACAGTGGCAACAGCAGGGAGCAGCAGAAACTACAGCAGGGGCAGCAGAAACTACAGCAGGGAGCAGCAGAAGCTACAGCAGGGAGCAAGATAAGCAACAGCAGGAAGAGCAGTGGGAGAAGAGGAGGCAGGTCTGAGGTGTATCGGGAACATGCGCGGTAGGTAGGAATAGTGTGGGGGGAGTGGGTCCTTGGTCACCCCGCCCCCCACCAGTGCTGGCCGCACCGTCGCTGTGAGGGAGGGAGGCTCTTGTGTTCCTTCCGTTATACTGCATCTCGTCTTGCCTACTCTACCTACTTCCTCAGGTAAGCCTGTCCCTGCTGGCTTAGGTGTGACTGCCACAAGCCATGTGCAGCGATAAGGCGAGGCTTGCGTCTGTGGGAGACATGACCGAGTACTTCCCTGCTACCATATGTTGACCAACACCTGTTTCCTGCCTCCACAAGATCTAAACTGTGTCAACAAAATTATTCGCACACCCTCCGTCGCTATGTAATAGAGTGCTACAACATGCGTAAATCAGAGACAACTGTATTACAAATTTTCAGGAAATGAGTAAATATTTCAGTGATCTACTACCAGAAATTTTAGCCAAATATCCCGTTTGTTATTAATAATATTAATACGGTAGTAAATGTGGGTTGGTGTTTATAACCTATCCATCGCTGTCCAGTGATTGGGGGGGGGCGGTGTGCAGGATAAACATATTTAATTATGGCACTTGCTTTCCATATATGTAAGTTGTTTAGCTTAGAGACTATACTTGTGGTTGGTGTAACATTATACATTAAATTTTGTTACTAGCTCATTAAGACTTAACTTGCTTAGCTAAATGAGTTTTGGGATTCAGTCCCTGGGCCCATTATGTAGCGCTGTAATCCTTTCCACTGCTGCCCACAGAAGGGGTTTGGGATCCACTATTGTCCATAGGATGGGTATGGGGTTCACTACCGTCTATAGGATAGGTATGGGGTGCATATTAGATGAACTAAACTGAACTAATTGCCTCGGCGCGCCCACCCGGTCCTATACTTTATAAAGATTTAATATTCATGGACTAAGTTACGGTTTAGTGAACCTTGTAGAAGGAAACACTTTTTTTCACTTTAAGGAACCGAGATAAATATGTAATGCATGTAATGCATATAGTTTAATTAAAGACAACAAGAGTTTCAAGAAGTTTGGGAACTCAGGTTTTACCAAACAGAAAACGTGCTGATCAAGGGCAAACTTTTGCTTAATATGAAATCATTAACACGTCTAAAATTAAACCAATACAATTTTGTTTGTTAAAAGTTGCCGCTTCCCGAAGTGACGTGACGACCTTGGCGTGTCTCTGGCCTTCACTTGGTGATAATTTACGATCGATAACTGTGGCAGCGTCACCGAGGTACCCCAACACTTACACACACACTCCACGGACTCTTTAATATTGTTAGAGAAATTATTTGTGAAGATGGGTTGGATTTGGGTGGGAGCGAGGGTAGCGTTGTGGGCGGTGGTGGGAGCGAGGGTGGTGTATACGGGGCAATAAGCAGAGGTGGGGTGCAGAAGTGGGTGGGGATGTCCGTGGGGTGGATGTGCACTCATCCGCCTAGTTATACTCACCTAGTTGTGCTTGCGGGGGTTGAGCTTCTTCTCTTTTGTCTCTTTGGCGGTATTGGTGGCTGGTCCCCTTGTCGTGGGGGAGAGGGCTGGTGCGGGGGCCTTGGTTCCTGCTTCTGCTTCCTCGCCCGCGTGGCATCGGGATCATGCACCCTGATAAGGACGTTGTTGAGGCCCGTGACCTGGTCGTTGTGCTGAAAAAGGGTGTTCGCAGAGTACAGGAGAGCCCTGTGCTAGTTGTTCCTGATTTTGTGTCTCCCGCGGTGGTCGCGTAGTGGCATTTTCCTTTCTGCGGAGGCATGGGCTCAGCGGGTAAATATGTTGATATGACAATCTACTTGAGAATGGTCCAGGACGAACCGAAACGTCGTCGTCCCTTCACTTTCTAGTGTGTGGTCTGGTCAACAAATATGTTGATTCTTAATTGTTGTGTGTGGTTATTTATTTGTGTTGTTTATCTGTTTTGCTGTGTGTAGATATCTTTTGTTTTGGTGCCCTTTATTTTCTGTGTTTATTCTATTTTGTTTGTACCCCTTCTTGTATTGTGCGCATTACTTGGAATGTGTGGGGGTCTAGGAAAGGTTTGCATACCTGGTCCTTCTGAGCCGGGGTTTTGTTTTTGCTTTATTTTTTTTCGTTGGCTTGAACCACTTGTGTATTTTGGCTGTTTGTTAGTTTGTAGATTGTTTTTCCGTTTTCATGTTTCATTCCTGTGTTCTTTGGTGTTATGTATTGCTTTTGTTCTTGTATATATTATGTATTGCTTTTGTTCTTGTATATATTATGTATTGCTTTTGTTCTTGTATATATTATGTATTTCCGTTTCTAACAAAAAAAAACTTTTCCTTGCAGGTTGCAGAAGGAAGCGTCGACACCGAGGCCGTCTGGCCGGATGTAGGCCTCTGCTTCCACATTATGGCGAGTGGTGAAAACGCATAAAGAATTTATGCAAAATGTAGGACAATTAATAAATAAAATTTTGAATAGTAAAGCACCAGCTGTAATTGCATGGCAGCATGGTAAAGATTAACAAGAGATCGCTGGCAACGTTAGACACGACTAACTTGTTGCCTTTTTCAGAATGATGGTTATCTACCCCACGGTAAAAGTTTGATAACGTAATCATTCCTCTCATATTTTCACGTAAAAGTTGCAGTAACTGAACTCTTAAACAGTACGAGACTTATTAGTCCAGTAGGAGAGGCATACATCTGGCATGTTATTTGTCAGGGGAGCGAGTATCATACATCTGGCCTCCTGGAGCCAGGCCTTGTACTTCTAGCTTTCTGGAGCCAGACCCAGGTATATCTGGCCTCTGAAGCCTCCTCACACTTCCCCATATGAGGTAACCAAGTTCTTACTGGGAAGAATGAAGTCAGATACGTCACAGCTAACTTATCAGTATATATGAACCAGTAACAAGAGAGGCAAAGAGACGAAGATTTGCGATCACAGTATAGTTTGATCCAGAACTTTGTTAAGTATCTGGATTGCAACTGGAGTGAATTTTCAAGAGTTCTTTTACTTCCCGAGCCCAACCTGGGGCCCTGGCTTGACTTGGGATAACTTGATCCAACAGGCTGTTGCCTGGAGCGGTCCACGTGCCCATATATTGACTACATTTTGTGAATTCACTAAAACCTAGTTGGTTCTGCACTACTTGCAAGATATTACTTAAATACTTCTTGAAGGCACCCACCATTGTTCTGGCAATATTTATAATGCTTCCTGGGAGGGTGTTGACCAGCCATGGACCTCTGATGTTCAGTATTCTCTGATTGTGCCTATGGCGCCTCTACTCCTCACTGGTTCTATTCTGCACTTCCGTCCGAATGTTAATACTTGCTGGACGGCTGCCAACGTGGAGAAAGCTTGGCAGTAATGTGTGTCCTGGGAGAGGTAGGTGGACGCACAGAATAAGTGTGTCAGCTTTTTACTTCAAGAACAAAACAGCAGTTTCCAGCTTAGCTGATATGAATCAGTAAATTATTAATAATTCAAGTTAGAATCATTCTTATTTAAAAGGATAACCGGAAATTTATAATTGTTTGAACCATTATAATTAATTATTAACTTGTTATGATGCGTCTTTAGTGTTACCTAAAGCAGATAATTGATATGCGAGGTGTTTAAAATGAGAGGAACACGACAACGCAGTTAGTGAACCCAAGTCTCCAACAATCATCACAAGTTGTTACGCGAATATTAAGACAAGTACAGACGGACAATTCCACCTGGAACTCTCACTATTAATACCAAACATATCACATAGAACTGTAAAGGCCAGGCAAGGCTCACCGTGCGTGTGTACCACCACCTGCAGTGACCACCACACACACACACCCACCAAGTTATAGCGAACATGTCAGCGAAAACAGCAGTCGACTGGAGTCGCTTCGGGCTGGCCTCTGACGGGGAGCGGGAGGCGTCAGAGACCACACGACTCAAGGACCCGGCACTGGACGAGGGCTACTACGGCGGCCACCACGCCGAGCTCTTCACCGGCGAGAAGGTCAGCATCCCAGGTAGTGGGGCACAACAGGTAGTGGGGGCACAACAGGTAGTGGGGCACAACAGGTAGTGGGGGCACAACAGGTAGTGGGGCACAACAGGTAGTGGGGGCACAACAGGTAGTGGGGCACAACAGGTAGTGGGGGCACAACAGGTAGTGGGGGCACAACAGGTAGTGGGGGCACAACAGGTAGTGGGGCACAACAGGTAGTAGGGGCACAACAGGTAGTAGGGGCACAACAGGTAGTGAGGCACAACAGGTAGTGGGGCACAACAGGTAGTAGGGGCACAACAGGTAGTGGGGCACAACAGGTAGTGGGGCACAACAGGTAGTGGGGGCACAACAGGTAGTGGGGGGCACAACAGGTAGTGGGGGCACAACAGGTAGTGGGGCACAACAGGTAGTGGGGGCACAACAGGTAGTGGGGGCACAACAGGTAGTGGGGGCACAACAGGTAGTGGGGGCACAACAGGTAGTGGGGCACAACATGTAGTAGGGGCACAACAGGTAGTGGGGCACAACAGGTAGTGGGGCACAACAGGTAGTGGGGGCACAACAGGTAGTGGGGCACAACAGGTAGTGGGAGCACAACAGGTAGTGGGGGGCACAACAGGTAGTGGGGGCACAACAGGTAGTGGGGCACAACAGGTAGTGGGGGCACAACAGGTAGTGGGGCACAACAGGTAGTAAGGGCACAACAGGTAGTGGGGGGCACAACAGGTAGTGGGGGCACAACAGGTAGTGGGGGCACAACAGGTAGTGGGGCACAACATGTAGTGGGGCACAACAGGTAGTGGGGCACAACAGGTAGTAGGGGCACAACAGGTAGTGGGGCACAACAGGTAGTAGGGGCACAACAGGTAGTAGGGGCACAACAGGTAGTGAGGCACAACAGGTAGTGGGGCACAACAGGTAGTAGGGGCACAACAGGCAGAAGTAGACAACAGGTAGTAGGGAACAATAGGTAGTAGTAGACAACAGGTAGTGGGGGACAATAGGCAGTAGTAGACAACAGGTAGTGGGGGAAAACAAGATAAGTAGCAGACAACAGGTAGCGGGGAGACAACAGGTGGTAACAATAGATAACATGTAGTGGGGGACTACAGGCAGAAGTAGAAAACAGGTAGTGGGAGCACGACAGGCAGTTGCAGACAACAGGTAGTGAGAGACAACAGGTGTTTTTTTTTATTTTTTTTTAATTTTTTTTTCTTTATTTTCTACCACAAACGTGGCCACACATTTACAATGCTAACCAGCATATATACATTTTCTTCTGTCCTCCATAGACAGAGTTAGAGATCAGTTAAACATATAGTTCAGGGATTTATTGAACAATCAACCACAGGTGATTCGGTACTTTTAAAATGCTAAGCTAACCTACATACGTAAATGCATAGATACACAGATCTACGTACAACAGGTGGTGGTAGAGAAGGTGTCATACTAACCCCCCCCCCCTCCCCCCCATGTGTGACTGGCAGGGGGACGTACCATGGTGGAAAAGCACCTTTTTCGTGAGCGAGCGGGTGCTGTTCGGAACGTGGGATGGAGTGTTCACCTCGTGCCTCGTCAACCTCCTGGGCGTCATCGTCTTCCTGAGAGCCGGCTGGGTGGTCGGGGAGGCTGGCGTCCCGCTGGCCGCCCTTGCTGTCATCGTCTCCGGTGAGTGACGGGCTGATGGACACCTATTGTTGCACAGAGAGAGAGAGAGAGAGAGAGAGAGAGAGAGAGAGAGAGAGAGAGAGAGAGAGAGAGAGAGAGAGAGAGAGAGAGAGAGAGAGAGAGAGAGAGAGAGAGAGAGAGAGAGAGAACTACAACAACAACAACTATACCAACTATGAGCACGACCACTATGGCTACCTTACCAGGTGTTTGCCGAGACGTTACCCACGCTGCCACGGAAAGCCTAGGCCAGAATATGACCTGTTTCATCCGGGTATCCTAGCCTCACAGATTGCTCGGGAGTGCTTACTTATTTAGCACTCATCGAAGGTTGAGGTTGAGAACGAAGTAAGTTCGAACCCTCATCACGTCTCTTGTGGATTTGTACATTGCTGCTTGTATGTGTGTGTACACTTGGTTGCTGTGTGTGTCACAGTTCTAGTGGTATTGATCTGTGTATTATTGTTAAGAGGTGCTGCCATCCAGGTGTTACAGTCACGCTGACGTCCGCATACTACAGGCTTAGTGGTGCTGACATTCGTGTATTACAGTGTTGGTGGTGCTGACATTCGTGTATTACAGTGTTGGTGGTGCTGACGTCGGTGGTATCAGCAGTTGGGATCTGTGAGAGGACGAGGATGGAGAACGGGGGCATTTACTCCCTTATCTCCCATGTCCTAGGCTCCCAGGTCGGCGGCTCTGTGGGACTTGTCTACTGCTTTGGCCAGGTGAGTCCCCTACACTCACCCCGCCATACTTCACTCACCTCACTAACCTTTCACTTGCCTCACAAACTCTTTACTTATCTTATTAGCCCTTCACTCACCCATAACTCACCTCACAAACCCTTCACTCACTTCATTAGTCCTTCACTAACTTTTTACTCCCTTCATTAACCCTCCACTTGCTTCATTAACCGCTCTACTCGCCTTATTAACCCTCCACTTGCCTTATTTATCCGTTACTCACATCGTAAACCTAAAGTTAACATTATAGAGCTCAATAAGTTTAGTGTTATAAGAGCACTTAGGCTCGTTGGTTTTGGTAAACATAATCGTAACGACTATATGGAGTGAAGTTCTCCATATAGCAAGAGAGACAACCTAAGAGCCACCTTGAATGTATAAGGGAGCGGCACTGGGGAGATATTGACACCGCGCGCGCTGGCGGGCCAAGCTCCGGAGTTGGTATTTGTAAAGCAAATGTTGAATCAGATAACTTGAAGGAGGTGTCACACTGATACGAGACGTCATCAAGCAACACAACAGGAACCAACCTGTCACTGCCTCTTGCAACTTGTACTTCACTTACTATCGTAATAGGGAACTTTATTCGCAACAACTTGTAAAAGTCATTACATTTCTGGCTACATATACAGAAATGTACGGACTTGTACATTACACGTGTTCCCTTCGGGAATCTTAATTTCAAAATGAATAGGAAAACCATTTATATAACAAACATCTTGTTTCAGATTCTTTAATTTAAAAAGCAATACGTCTCGTATTTATGTTGGTTAATATTGATCCCTTTCAGTATTTTGAAATGTGAAGATAAATTGAATAGAGTTGTAAGAAGTCTGAAAGACGTTCTCTTTGATTACACAAAAATGCTCGCAACAGGCTCTAAGCCAGGCATTTTATATGGGATGCCTAATGTTCATAGAACAGGTATACCGTTTCGTTCTATTTTGTCAGCGATTGGTACTTTTAATTACAAACTGGCAAAGTTTTTAGTTCCATTATTAGAACCATTAACTTGTAATGAATTTACTCTGAGAAACTCTCAGGATTTTGTAAAGGAACTTTCCTCATTGAATTATGAGTTCCCTACTATAACGGCTAGTTTTGATATAGAATGACTCTTCACTAACATTTCTCTGTTGGAAACTATTGACATTTGTGTAAATCAGTTATTCGCTGACACTAATTTAGTGTCAGGATTTTGTAGTAAGATATTTAGACAGTTGTTAAAATTGGCAGTTAAAGACTGTTATTATGTTTAATAATAAATATTATAAACAAATTGATGGCGTAGCAATGGGTTCTCCATTAGGCTTTGCACTTGCTAATGCTTTTTCGAGTTTTCATGAGAGAAATTGGCTTGATAAATGTCCACTAGACATTTTGAGCTAAGCAAATAACAATCTTTTGACGCAAATTACAAAATTATTAATGTTATATATACATGTACACATACTCATACATACATGTACATATATATATATACGTATACATATATACATACACATACATATATTACCCCCAGAACATCTCCCCCAGACAGTGGGCATCTCGCTGTGTGTCACTGGGTTCGGGGAGTCGATGGCAGAGCTGGTGTCAGTGCCAGGAGTGTGGGCAGAGAAGGCCATGGGCTGCGGTGCCCTGCTGATCCTGGCACTCATCAACGTGGCAGGTGTCAAGTGGGTCATCAAGGTCCAGTTCATCCTCCTCCTCCTCGTAGTCCTCGCAGCCCTCGACTTTGTCTTCGGCAGCTTCCTCGACCACTCCGACGGTCAGTGCCACGCTCCTCCCACACCTCCTCTCATCCTCATTTATTGCCTCATATCATAAATGTTCAAATAAATTGTTTTTATGTCTAAGTTTATAGAAACTTTTTTTTTAGTGACAGTCGTTATCCCATGTGAACCCATCGTGTGTAACGGTGTATACACATCTATATGTATATAGATGTGCCTGTACAATCAGTGGACCTATTCAGAAAAACTGTGTTGTGGGTAAACATGTTTAATCATTCTTGCCTCAAAATGTGCATAAATTGCTCCATTACAGGAGCATTAAGTGAGGGAAATTTCCCTCCATCAGGCTCTTCGGTGGTTCATCAAGAGAACAACATAAAGGAGAGCACACTGAGGTAGAACATAATGGAAAGTTTGTTTCTGTAGTAATTTGCTTGTTGAGCAGTGAGGACGGCTCCAGGGGTCACCAGAGCCACACATGACAGGGGTGAAGACGGCTCTAGGGGTCACTAGAGCCACAGATGACAGGGTGAAGACGGCTCCAGGGGTCACTAGAGCCACAGAGGACAGGGGTGAAGACGGCTCTAGGGGTCATTAGAGCCACGGATGACAGGGTGAAGACGGCTCCAGGGGTCACCAGAGCCACAGATGACAGGGGTGAAGACGGCTCCAGGGGTCACTAGAGCCACAGAGGACAGGGTGAAGACGGCTCCAGGGGTCACTAGAGCCACAGATGACAGGGGTGAAGACGGCTCTAGGGGTCACTAGAGCCACACATGACAGGGTGAAGACGGCTCCAGGGGTCACTAGAGCCACAGAGGACAGGGTGAAGACGTATACCCTAACTATGATGGGGGAAGACAATAAAATGTGCTTGGGGGGGAAACTTAAGGAGTTTCTTTTCTCGAGAAGGATACATTAGAAAGATGTCACCGTCCCTGGCATGCCTTGTGGTACCACCAACAACCTGGTTCACCAAGCTGACCACCTGGAAACCTGGTCTGGAATCCAACTACAGGGAAAGGAAGGAACCCTGGCGTTGACGGATGGGTCCAGAGTTTCCTGTATAGTGTCATAAGCTTGGAGACATCAGGAGACAGCGGTGATTGTCAGCAGAAGCGGCGGTGTCAGCAGAGGTGGTGACGAGTGTCAGCAGGAGCCACACTCGCTGATTGTGATCCTGGCTGTGGGCTCAAAGTTACCATATTCACTCATCTGTGACAGGCGCTGGATGACATGGAGTCCGTCCGTCACTTGCCCCAGCGCCCGCCCGGACCTGCGCGCGCACATACCTTCTTATTCCCCACCTTGCCTGCCTCCAGCCACATATTTATGTTGTGTATACATGAGAGGGAGAGTAAGGGGGTGTATACATGAGAGGGAGAGTAAGGGGGTGTATACATGAGAGGGAGAGTAAGGGGGTGTATACATGAGAGGGAGAGTAAGGGGGTGTATACATGAGAGGGAGAGTAAGGGGGTGTATACATGAGAGGGAGAGTAAGGGGGTGTATACATGAGAGGGAGAGTAAGGGGGTGTATACATGAGAGGGAGAGTAAGGGGTGTATACATGAGAGGGAAAGTACTGACCTGATAAGACTGTCACTCAGGCAGATCTTAACCTGTGGTCCGAGGCTCCAGGTCAGCGTCTCCAGGTGAAGGTCAGCCGCCACGGCCACCACCGCCCCGCGGACGTCCCCGTGACACGTGTCCTGTAGGGGAGGAGCGCTCATACTGGGTGTTGGGTGCTCTTACTGGGTGTTGGGTGCTCTTACTGGGTGTTGGGTGCTCATACTGGGTGTTGGGTGCTCTTACTGGGTGTTGGGTGCTCTTAGTGGGTGTTGGGTGCTCTTACTGGGTGTTGGGTGCTCATACTGGGTGTTGGGTGCTCTTACTGGGTGTTGGGTGCTCTTAGTGGGTGTTGGGTGCTCTTACTGGGTGTTGGGTGCTCTTACTGGGTGTTGGGTGCTCTTACTGGGTGTTGGGTGCTCTTACTGGGTGTTGGGTGCTCTTACTGGGTGTTGGGTGCTCTTAGTGGGTGTTGGGTGCTCTTACTGGGTGTTGGGTGCTCTTACTGGGTGTTGGGTGCTCTTACTGGGTGTTGGGTGCTCTTACTGGGTGTTGGGTGCTCTTACTGGGTGTTGGGTGCTCTTACTGGGTGTTGGGTGCTCTTACTGGGTGTTGGGTGCTCTTACTGGGTGTTGGGTGCTCTTACTGGGTGTTGGGTGCTCTTACTGGGTGTTGGGTGCTCTTACTGGGTGTTGGGTGCTCTTAGTGGGTGTTGGGTGCTCTTACTGGGTGTTGGGTGCTCTTACTGGGTGTTGGATGCTCTTACTGGGTGTTGGGTGCTCTTACTGGGTGTTGGGTGCTCTTACTGGGTGTTGGGTGCTCTTACTGGGTGTTGGGTGCTCTTACTGGGTGTTGGATGCTCTTACTGGGTGTTGGGTGCTCTTACTGGGTGTTGGGTGCTCTTACTGGGTGTTGGGTGCTCTTACTGGGTGTTGGGTGCTCTTACTGGGTGTTGGATGCTCTTACTGGGTGTTGGGTGCTCTTACTGGGTGTTGGGTGCTCTTACTGGGTGTTGGGTGCTCTTACTGGGTGAAGGTCCCCTAGTGCGTGTGCCCCTTGCATTGAAGTCTTTATCTACCCTATCAATTCCTTTGAGAATCTTGCATGTGGTGATCAGAACCTAATCTTCTGTCTTCCAGCGACATGAGATTTAATTCCCATACTCTCCTCATAGCTAATACCCCTCAGTTCGAATGCTAATCTGGTAGCAAACCTCTGAACCTTCTCCAGTTTAGTCTTATGCTTGACGAGATATAGACTCCATGCTGGAGCTGCATACTCCAGGATTGTTCTGATATATGTGGTATACAATGTTATGAATGATTACTAACACAAGTTTCTAAAGGCCGTTCTTACGTTGGCCAACCTGGCATATGCCGCTGATATTATCCTCCTGATATGGGCTTCGGGGGACAGGTCTGGCGTGATATCGACTCCCAGATCTTTCTCTCTGATTCTTGAAGAATTTCATCTCCCAAATGATACCTTATATCTGGCCTCCCGCTCCCTAAACCTATCTTCATTACATTACATTTGTTCGGGTTAAACTCTAACAACCATTTGTTGGACCATTCCTTCAGTTTGTCCAGATCTACTTGAAGACTTATGCTGTCCTCTGTCTTAATCCTTCTAAACATTGAGAGGAATGAGCCTATACCCTCAGGAAGATCATTTACGTATATCAGAAACAGGATAGGTCCGAGTACAGAACCCTGTGGGATTCCGCTGGTGACTTCACGCCAATCTGAGGTGCGCGCGCGAGTGAGGGAGAGTGAGAACACGAACGAAAGAGAACCGGCATACTGAGTAAGCTAACAAGTGTAGTCGTACTCCTCTAGAACACGGTAGTTACCACTCCATAATACCTGACTGTCAACGACTCCGGTATAGCCGCTGTGAAGGATGCGGGGCGAGGCCTCTCCGTCAGCACTTCTCGACGTGTCGCGTGAGGGTTGGAATCCTTCCCTGCTCTCCTCCCACCCGTCGTCCTCCATGGGGTCCCAGTCGTGGTTGCGGGGAGTGAGGACCCGCGGGGCGTCGTACAGCAGGTCGCCCAGAAGGATCCACTCGTTCTGGCAGCAGGCGAAAACACGCGAACCCTTATACCCGAATCCACGTTTCCCGGTCAGTAAGGCTGCAAATTCTGATCCCAGCTGACCCGTGCCTTCCAACACCTGACAATATACACATACTCAGTGACCGAGTCTAAGAGATAATGAGACTTTACGTCAGAACCTGTGAATATGAAATATTTGCTTAAGACCTGTGAATGAGAATAATATTTATAACATCAAGAATAAAAGATATTAATCACGTCTCATTGAGAGGATAGAGCATCTGGTAGTACCTGTGGAGGACACCTCAAGTCCAGCTCCCTGAGTATGGGAGGCACCACTGGTTTTCTGGGTTTGTAATTCGAGATATACGTTGGTATATTTTACCTGAGGTGATGAATAATAACTTCCCTAATATAAAGACTTAAAATAGAAAAAGTTTTGAACATTGGGATAACCGGCATAAATACTAGACATGTAGTTAATTTTGCGAGCCGCTATGATTTTAGTACATCAGTTTTTGATCTTTGAGTACTGATACGTCAAAATGCGATGTACTATTTGAGAGGCTCGGGCTGAGCTGATACCCAGGAGCGGAGAGGACAACAAGGAAGGAGTGGAAGCAGCAGCAGCAACTGAAGGAAAGTGTTAACTTAAAGTGTGTGTTAACATTAAAGTGTTAACTAAAGGAAAGTGTTAATAAGAAAAGTGCTCATCTCTTACAGGTTAACAATTGTGGATGAGAAGAAGGCTTCTCACCTTGATGACAACCCGTCCTACTGGCTGGTCCTGGCACGTGAATTCGATAAAATAGTGGTCGCTGGGAGCTGTGGTTAAGCCCCTGAGGGCGCTTGGAGCTGGGACTGAGCCCTTGAGGGCGCTGGGAGAGACCAGAGGGCCAGGCACACCTGGAAGGCTCTGAGTGAAGCCTGTGAACAGCTGCGACACCATCCTCTGTAACTCCTGCAAGAAGATCTGGCATATTAATTTAAAAACACTTTAAAGCGCGCGGGCCCCATGAAAAAAAAACTAGTGCATTGCGCGCGCGGCGTTTTGGGCTCTTGAGCTTAAACACCAAAGAGTGTGTAATCTTTTCACTCTCCTGACACCAATTCTCGAGTTACGTATTTCATTTTGGTATCAATGTGTTGGCAATAAAATTCTCTACAAGATCATATGTATAACATGTCACCAAAGCATTAGCTATCCCACCACGAAATAAATAAAACGTAGATCACTCGCCATGACGCCCAAACAGCAATAAAATGTTCATACTCTTTTGTTTGTTGTCAGCTCCACATTAGTCCTACAGCGTTATATTTTATATCCCTGAACTCGCAATAAAATTCCCTACACAGACATATGCATATAAATGTAGAATCATGATCGCGGCCCACACCAAGAGTGTGTGAAGTGGGTGATTACCCTCGTTGTGTCACCAACTCAATAGTCTCTCCTCTAAGTTACAATACAATGCCGTTTTCTCAAATAGGCCATGTGCCTATTAGAGAAAACGGAAATTTAATGGCAAACATTTTCATACTTCCCCAAGTCGATCGAATAAGAATTCGATTTTATATGTTTTTTTTAGATCGGCCGGCTATTTACGACGCGGGGGCAGAACCCGCATAAGCAAACCCGTCGTGTATTTACGACGCGGTCCCCTTAAAGTGATATAAGTCTGTGTGTATGTGTGTACTCACCTAATTGTGCTTGCGGGGGTTGAGCTTTGGTTCTTTGGTCCCGCCTCTCAACTGTCAATCAACAGGTGTACAGGTTTCTGAGCCTACTGGGCTCTATCATATTTACACTTGAAACTATGTATGGAGTCAGCCTCCACTACATCACTTCCTAATGCATTCCATTTGTCAACCACTCTGACATTAAAAAAGTTCTTTCTAGTATCTCTGTGGCTCATAGAGCCACAGAGATATTAGACAGCTTTTTGAATTTTAAATTATTTGTTGCTTAAGTTTGAACTAGGTGTTGCTCATCTCTTAATCAGGTGTTGGACATTTTTATATTACATGTTGCACATGTCTGTACCAAGTTTTCTGTATGTTTTGATCAGGTGTTGCATCGCTCCGTATCAGGTATTGCACTGCGAAGACGAAGTGGTACACACGAGACCAGGTAGTCTCTGGTGGTCTGATTACAGTCTCCGTGGTGTAGTGGCAAGACACTCGCCTGGCGTTCCGCGAGCGCTATGTCATGGGTTCGTATCCTGGCCGGGGAGGATTTACTGGGCGCAATTCCTTAACTGTAGCCTCTGTTTAACTCAACAGTAAAATGTGTACTTTGTTGTAAAAACTATTCTTCGCGGCGGGGATCGTATTCCAGGGACCTGCACGAAACGCTACGCGTACTAGTGGCTGTACAAGAATGTAACAACTCTTGTATATATCTCAAAAAAAAAAAAAAAAAAAAAAAAAAAAAAAAAAAAAAAAAAAAAAGGTACTCGACATGTACAGACCAGGATTTGCAATGTATAAAGCAGGTGCATCAAGTATTTTGGCTATTGCAGTTTGAAAACTTTAATTACTAAATTGTATTAGTCTAATGACATCACTATCGATTGATGACGTCACTATTTAACACGTGTGTAACAATCTCGCGAGCTTGACATCGTTGTGATGAAGTTTGTTTGTTTCAGAGCCGGGAGTGACCGGATGGTCTGGGGTGACGTGGGCCAACAACACGTCGCCAGGGTACACGTCTGGCACGTCCTGGTTCACGGTGCTGGGAGTGTTCTTCCCTAGTGTCACAGGCATCATGGCGGGCATCAACATGAGTAGCGACCTGCGACACCCAGCCAGGGACATCCCCGTCGGAACCCTCTCAGCCCTCGGTCTGAGGTGCATAACCTCGTCTTCACCCACACTTGCCTCCACCCACACATGTATTCACTCACATGAGAGTACAGTGCTTAAATATTGCACTTTTATTATAATGTATTCGCTTGCTTGCAGTTGTGTTATTCAGATCTGTCGTTATCAGACAAGTCTTATTATATCTCTTCTGCCTCTTTCTATCTCCACTGCAGCGTCTGATATCTCTCCATTACTTCTTGAAGTTCTTCATGTCTCTACGTTATCTCCTGCAGTACTGTGCTATACCTGGTGTTCGTGGTAGTGTTGGGCGCCACGGTAGAACGGAAGGTCTTGCTCACTGATTACATGATCACGGAGAAGGTGTCAGCTCTAGGTTAGTCTCCCTTAACCGTTTTAATACAGAAAACGTTATTTTATTTAAGAGAGAACGATAATTTTATCAGTGACTAATATAATGTGTAGAGTTAGATGGATTGCTTGGATGTTGCTCAGATTCAAATTGTTATATATTATGATAATGATGGTTGTGTGAAAAAGACTTATTACTGAGAACATATTAGACAAATATGCGAGTTAATGATTCTGGAACAGGACGAGAGGTTTGGTCATGTTTTCTTACACCTGATGTAACTGTTCATGTACATTGTGAACACCAAGTTTTATTTATTATTTATTTATTTATTTATTTATTTATAACCAACAGTGTATCGAATCATGCCGCTGTTTTGAATAAATATTTCTTGTAAACATTTAAAAACATTTGTTTACAATACAATACAATACAATTTTATTTAGGTAAGGTACATACATACAATAAATATTTACAAGGATTGTTTGACTTATAGATATAGCTAGTACATACAATGCCTAAAGCCACTATTACGCAAAGCGTTTCGGGCATGTGTTTAAAAACATTATTTAAGTTATTACTAACAATCATAGGAGGGAGTAGTAGTAACAACAACAACAAGAGGAGGGCGAGGCCAGACACCTCCACCATGCCAATTAGCTTGGTCCAAGCTGGGAGATAACTACTTGGGTTAAGTTTCATGTGTTACGAGTTGATGACGGCTCTACCGTACTGCTCTACACCAGTTGAGGTGATAGTTTTAGCAGAGTGGTACTCGAGGTGTGGCGACATCTGTCAGCCTACGGATTCTGACACTTGGCCTTAACAGGCGGCATGTTGGCAGCTTCATTGTGATAAACAATTCAGCTTCATATACTAACAGAGCGCGAGTATCGCAGAAGTACGCATCTCTGCCGACTCTGTAGGAATTAATCAACACCTGTTTACAATTGTGTTCATTTGTACAGAGACCCAGAGCTATGTTGTTGTTCAAATATTTTAAACTAGAGATCAGTCACTTGATAATAAAGACTGACGTTGCCAGGACTTACTGAGCAAGCAGGGAGTGACTGGTAGGAGGGCGTGGTGGTGGGCGTGCAGTTGACACACCGTGTATGGCTCACCGTGTATGACACACCGTGTATGACCCAAGGTGTCACCTAGTTCAGCAAGTGTACTGGTGAAGATGATGCTGGGAGAGCTGGTGCGTGAGTGAGTTGAGTCTCTGGCGCCACCACCGGAACCAGTGTTGAGATAATATAAGATATGTGGCAGGATGTCCAGTTGCCATCTTCTCTTCATTGTTTTTTGACAGTCAAATATCTGGATGGTTTGTATTGTATGAGTATAATAATTATACGTACGTGAGCATATAATTGGATGACTGGCGTAATATAACACAACACCAAGTGTGCGGGGGGCGGCGCCCTGAGGCAGACCATTGAACAAGGCACGAAGCTTGCGTTGTCCTCGTGGTGTCCTGTCCTCATGACTGTGTTGTCCTCCTGACTGTTGTCCTCATGACTGTGACTGACATGTCCCTCCCACAGGAGTGCTGCTTGTGGCGGGTCTCTACACCACCACACTCTCCGCCACTCTGGCCTCCCTCTACGCGTCGCCTCGCGTCCTACAGTCCATCGCAGCTGAGAATGTTGTTCCGTTTCTCTCTCCGCTGGCAAAAGGGGTATGAACCGTCTTGACAAAATTATTCTGCTTCTATATTATATAGGGTTCCCCAGGGCTGGGTCTTATTAACCTGGTCAATAACGACTCTTTAAGACTGCTCATTTGGTCACACATCGAGCTGTATTATTTTATTAATACATCTGATGTTGTAAAGCCTCACACTGTAGTATGAGGCTTTACAAGTGATGAAATATCACTAGCACACTAGTGATGAAATATTTATGGTTCATATTTCACTAGATCTTTATGACCATTGGCTGAGGCTCCAGTGTGTTAATATTAGAAGTTGTGGTATTAATTTCCTTTGACAGGAATCATGAACTGAAAGATGGGTTTGAAAATATTATTTTCTGATTTAATGAAGCAATAGTATCCTTCATTTAAATTGTACATTCTTATAATTTATTAATAACTTTAAAGGAGAGGTATACATAGGGCGGTGTCGTGTATGAATACACACTGAGAGCTTACTAGAGTCCTGCACCATGTTGATGGGCTTTAAGCCCAGCACCGAACTAAAACCTGGAAGATCGTATCAACGCAGTATATAACATAATACATTCACGTAATTAAATTATATTCCAATAATCATGGAATATAAACATGCAAGAACCTAATAATTTTTTTTTCAGTATGGGCAAAAATCGAGCGAGACAATATTTACTGAATGTGGGAGACAGGTCTCCAACCTAAATATATATATTTTGTCCCTCAGAAAGGTCCAAACAAAGTACCGGTGTTGTCACTGGTGGTGACGGTGGTGGTGACGGTGGTGTTCCTGATGGTGGGAAGGATCAACACTCTGGCACCCATCGTTACTATGCCCTTCCTCGCCACCTACGCCGCTATTGACTATGCCTACTTCGCCCTCGCTATGACAGCGGACCTGCAGAAGGCGCGGGAGGCCAGGTTCAGGTGAGACAGCTGTTACCTTCTGTTTCTAAACCCGAAGGAAGAAGAAATACTTATGTTAAGGCCATGATTATTTGTTTCGTTTTCATCCATTTTGTTTAATCCTTATCTTACTGTCGTTGGATGGGGCGGGATCATCATTGTTGCCACAATATATGACAAAGAGTGCTGGGAATACGGGATACTACGAGTATAGCTCTCATCCTATAACTACACTTATGTAATTACAAGATATAAATTTAATTGTCAATTCCGAAGACGCGTGTCGGAACTGATGAAAACATTACTATGCTGTGTATACCACACGGTAACGCTGGCTGACCTGACCTGCCAATCACCAATCAGTTGTTAGCGGTCATTTGACCAAGTGAGTCACCTCTCGACTGTAACTGACCCATACATATGAACAACTACTGTTGAACGGCGACGTAAAGTACAGTGAAGGCGGTGTTATAGACGTGACCAGTTGAGCCACAAGAGTATCCTGCTGTGGTCAGTGTTGGCTGCTCACACTTCCACCTGGCGTAGCCTTACACACCAATTGAACGCCGCAAGTAATAGGAAAATTATAAGTCATTGCTCTTTACAGAAATCAAACATTCGGAACCCCGACCTTCGCCTCCGGCGGCGGCACCGGCGGCGCCAGCGACCTGGACCACCTGTTCCCAGAGAGAATAACACACAAGAAGGTCATCACGGTAAGACCTTCACCTCCACCTAATTATAATGACCAACTTTCCTTAAAGGGCAAGATTAGGCGCCTCTCTGTCACATTACCTGATCACCTTCCGGTATACATTAATACTTGATGGATTTTGGCTCGTGTAGCTTATAGGTCAAGTTGCTAGTTATGTTGTGTTGCTGCTGACTATCCCCACAACTGCTGACTATCCCCACAACTGCTGACTATCCCCACACCTGCTGACTCTCCCCACACCTGCTGACTATCCCCACACCTGCTGACTATCCCCACAACTGCTGACTATCCCCACAACTGCTGACTATCCCCACACCTGCTGACTCTCCCCACACCTGCTGACTATCCCCACACCTGCTGACTATCCCCACACCTGCTGACTATCCCCACACCTGCTGACTATCCCCACACCTGTCTGTTGTAACTGTCTACGACCTATCTGCCACCTGTCTATGATCTGTCTTTCTCTGGTACAGACAGCTGCCAGTTCAGGAACGTCAAGTCTGGTGTCGTCCCCAGATGACCACTCCAGCATCAAGTCAGACACTGACCGCTCCACAAAGGGTAAGACAGTGTTATGTGAGGGGTATCACTCTATGAGATGATATAGTAGCACAAGAATATATATATATATATATATATATATATATATATATATATATATATATATATATATATATATATATATGTCGTACCTAGTAGCCAGAACTCACTTCTCAGCCTACTATGCAAGGCCCGATTTACCTATTAAGCCAAGTTTTCATGAATTAATTGTTTTTTGACTACCTAACCTACCTAACCTAACTTAACTTTTTCGGCTACCTAACCTAACCTAACCTATAAAGATAGGTTAGGTTAGGTTAGGTAGGGTTGGTTAGGTTCAGTCATATATCTACGTCAATTTTAACTACAATAACAAAAAATTGACCTCATACATAATGAAATGGGTAGCTTTATCATTTCATAAGAAAAAAATTAGAGAAAATATATTAATTCAGGAAAACTTGGCTTATTAGGCAAATCGGGCCTTGCATAGTAGGCTGAGAAGTGTGTTCTGGCTATTAGGTACGACATATATATATATATATATATATATATATATATATATATATATATATATATATATATATATATATATATATATATATATATATATATATATATATATATATATATATATATATATATATATATATATATATATATATATATATATATATATATATATATATATATATATATATATATATATATAAAAACACTCCATATAATATTAAACTCATAAGACTTGAGAAACATGTGATAAAGAAATCAAACAAACCAAGAGTGGGTGAGAAAATACTGCTGAGGTCAGAAGGACACAAGTCTGACATATCTTTAGTGCAGTAAGAAACATATGGCAGATATAGGTCCTTATTATTGCAGAGTGAGAAACATTGAACTTTCTATTTGATAAGTATAATGAACAAGAATAACCATAACCTTCCTCGTGACTACCGTCTCTTGCCCTTGGACAGAGGAAGAGAGCGTTGGTAGCGGCGTGGCGGCCGGTGGAGCAGGAGGGCTGGCGCCGGCTGGTCCAGGCGCCGGCCCGCTCGACATCACCAGCAAGGCTACCCACTGGTATTCTTACCTCTGCAACCGCTGGCTCTCCCTCCTGGGGGTAAGCACCTCTTGCGCATTATTTCATCATAAAGGTAAATATTGAGATGTATCTTTCAACACAGGACAATGAGTTTTAAAATGTCCACTCATAAATAAATAAATTTTTATTCAAGGTAAGGTACATACATACATACATACAAGGTAAGATACAAAAGTTGATGGATTTATAGATAGAGCTAGTACATACAATGCTTAAAGCCACTATTACGCAAAGCGTTTCGGGCAGGAAAAACACTAAGACTAAAACTGTCATGGCTGTCAACCAACAAACTTGCACCAAACTCAGAAAAAGCCATCTTCATTTTATTTGGTAGTAAATTATCAAATCAGATTCAACTTTAGATAGACAATGTTAACGTTAACAGTAAAATTGAGGCTAAGTTCCTTGGCCTATACATAGACAAGAGATTGAACTTCAGCACCCACATACAACACATAGCCAAAAAAGTCTAAAAAATGGTCGGTATACTTTCTAAAATGAGATATTATGTTCCCCACTCTGCTCTTCTCTCGTTATACTACGCACTAATATATCCATATCTTACATACGGTATACACCCGCGTTAAGTATCACTATGACATTCGCAAAGTCCGACTAGAGGTAAACACACACACATGGTGGTGATGTGGTGGAAACTGACTCCATACACAGTTTCAGGTGTAGATATGATAGAGCCCAATAGGCTCAGGAACCTGTACACCTGTTGATTGATGGTTGAGAGGCGGGACCAAAGAGCTAAAGCTCAACCCCCGGAAGCACAACTAGGTGAATACTAGACAGGGGGGTAGAAATCGCCTAAGCTACTCTATCCCTTTGAGATGTATTTCTTTCTTATCTCAATAAACATACTTGGTGAATACTAGGTTAATACACACACAGTACACGCGAGTTACCCATATACACGCCATCCTGCAGTGACACAAGGAATTGCTTTACCTATGATTTGTTCAGAAGTAAAACATAGAAGTACATAATTTCCTTACCCCCGTGTCCCTTTGTACTACAATGGTACTCTACTACCTGAAACTAAAGCTCCGTCAATATACTGTAATTTATATTTAATCATCACCACCTTCCCCAATTACTAATTGTACATACAGTAATCGTTACCTTGCTGTAATTTTTGAAAGTGCTGAAAGCTCTCATTGTATACCTCATTTACATATTTTATTTCTGGTTGAGATTGTTCACCTTGTAATTTAAATTTCACTACAAATCCTTTGTAAACTTATTAAGACTTGCCGACAATGTTGTGTGAGTTAAGACCTTTGCCAGAATGTCCCATTTAATCACAAAAACCTATACTAACACAACCCATTGTACCTTTTTGTATATAAATAAATGAATGAATAAGTATATATTAAACAAAATTTATATTTATTAACATTGCTCTACCATTGGTAACCATTAACATTGGTAACTGTAAACCAATATAATAATGGGGGGACCAAATGTGCAGGTTTGTGTGAAGGTGTCGATGATGGTGTGTGTTCACTGGGCTTACGGTCTCCTCACCCTCCTCACCACACTGCTCATATATGTCTACATCGGCCAGGCCGCCCCCGGAGGTCCTCCTGGTATTGCCACCCACTTCGTCTTCCTCCGATGGCTCAAAAATATGTGCCTTACGTGCATTGGGTAAGCAAATATTTCCTAAGTACATACAGGGTGCTATAGGCTCCTTTTATTTTTGGAACTAAAGAGAATGTGTTTCCAAGCCTTTTAATAGTGGTCTGTTTGATTTAATAATTTGTGTACGTTGACAGCTTTATCTATGTTTTACACTGCTTAGCCATATTTAAATAAAAATGCTACATTTGTAATATTTGTAAGACATAATAACATAGGATAAAACCTTACAGTTGTGTATTTGTGATATGTAAGGAATTTCGCACTCTCCTGAGTGCTTTGTCAAAGTCTGAGTGTGGGATTAGGACGAGACTTCTCAACATTTAATCTTAGACATCTCAACGTCTAATCTTTAACCTTTAGACTTGCAGATGTCTGATCTTTAGATTAGACGTTGAGATGCAAGTCTCGTCCTAATCACACACTCAGACGTTGACAAAGCACTCAGGAGAGTGTGAAAGACTTGGCGTAAATTCCTTACATAAATTTCACAATTACATAAGTGTGGGTGTTTATCCTACAGTATGAAACACACAAAAATTACATTAACGTGATATATATCAATGAAAAAATCCACCAGGGCTATAGATGGGCGCCAACCTGCGACCAAGCCTCATATTCTATGAATAATGTACCTACAGTATGAATATTGTACTGTTCTAACTGATGCAATAAATACTAATAATTCAATACAATGTGAGTTATGAGTACCTGTCACATTTATTTATTTTAAAGTTAGATACTCATAAGTGTTGTTGTGTTGATCAGGCAGCAGTCAGCTGAGTATGACCAGGTGGTGGTGACTCCGCTTCACCCGGGCGTCGAGGTCACTGCCAATCAGCTGACTGAAGAAAATGAAGACTTCGCTGCCAGGTCTCGTTATCACCAGTCAACCCCAGGCCAGGCACTCCCAGACCTGCCACAGTCTCGCTGACCCGCCTCCACCATCTGACTTGGGCACAGTTAGTCCTTTATTATGCACCCTATACCCATCCCCCTGGGCGGTGGGGGAAGAGGTTACAGAGGAACATAACGGGTTGAGGAAGTGAACACCACAATTCAATTAGCTAAGCGAGTAACAATCTTATGAAGCCAAATTCTTTTATTACACACATGCATATGCATATATGTATACATATATTTGGTGGATATATACAGGGATAGAGTACTAGGTGACAGTTTTTTTTATCTAGGACCATCCCCAAGATCTCTTTCTTTATCAGAAGTCTTTAAAGATTTCTCACATAATTTATAGGTTGTGTGGGATCTATGTTCTCTTTTTCCACATTCCATAACATGGCATTTATTCACATTCAATTCCATTTACCAAGTGGTGCTCCATATACTTATTTTGTCCAGGTCTTCTTGAAGGGCATGATAATCATCTAAGTTTCTTATCTTCCCTATGATCTTAGCATCATCAGCAAATAGGTTCATATGATTTTGTATTCCATCTGGTAGATTGTTTATGTAGACAATGAACATTACCGGTGCAAGAACTGAACCCTGTAGTACTCCACTTGTGACATTTCTCCAGTCTGATACATTGCCTCTGATTACTGCCTTCATTTTTCTATCAGAAATTTTTTCATCCATGTTAAAAGCTTTCCTGTCACCCCTCCAATATGTTCCAGTTTTTAGAACAACCTCTTATGTTTAACTCTGTTGAAAGTCTTTTTTAGGTTCAGATAGATGCAGTCACCCCAGCCATTTCTTTCCTGTAAAATCTGTGGCTCGATCATAGAAACTGAATAAATTCGTTACACAGGATCTCCCAGAGCGAAAACCATACTGACTATCTATTACATCGTTTTTCTCCAGGTGTTCTACCCCATTTATTTTTAATTATTTTTCCCAATATTTTGACTATTACACTTGGCAATGATACAGGCCTATGATTGAGAGGGTCTTAAATGCTGCCACTTTTGTAGATTGGAACTATGTTAGCCTTTTTCCACGCATCTGCTACAACTCCTGTACACAGGGATGTCTGAAAAATCATTTGAAGTGGAATGCTGACCTCAGGTGCACATTCTCTCAGAACCCATGGTGAAACTCCATCTGGGCCTACTGCTTTGTTCTTACTTAGCTCCTTAAGAATTTTGTTCACTTCTTCTCTAGACACCTCTATGTGCTCTATGTTGTTCTCTAGAATTCTTACTGTGTCTGGTTCCCTGAAGATTTCATTTTGTACAAACACACTTTGGAACTTTTCGTTTAATGTTTCATGCATTTCCTTTTCATTTTCAGTGAATCTGTTTCCCATTTTCAACCTCTGAATATTATGCTTTACCTGCAATTTGTTGTTTATGAATTTATAGAATAGACCTGGTTCTGTTTTACATTTTTCTGCTATCCCTTTCTCAAAGTTCCTCTCTGCCTCTCTCCTCACTCTTGTGTAGTTGTTTTTCGCATCTTTGTATCGCTGGTATGTTTGGGGGTTTGGCCTCTTCCTTCCTATATTGATTCCATTTTTATGTATTTTTGGTCTCTGGTCCTCTCGCAATTCTGTTGAACCAATCCTGTTTCCTGGTTCTGCATCTCTGCTTTGCTATAAGTTGTGTTGTGCCTTTATTATATATTTCACAAAACTTGACATACATCTCATTTACTTCCATGTCCTAACAACAAGTCTTTCGAGTCAAATTCCTGAAAGAAATGTCTAAGTTCCCCATAATGTCCTCTCTTGAAATCAGGTTTTTCAACTGCTTCAACCTCCTTGTAATGAGGTGTGTGTGTACTTACCTAGTTGTGCTTGCGAGGGTTGAGCTCTGGCTCATTGGTCCCGCCTCTCAACTGTCACTCAACTGGTGTACAGATTCCTGAGCCTACTGGGCTCTATCGTATCTACATTTGAAACTGTGTATGGAGTCTGCCTCCTCCACATCATTACTTAATGCATTCCTTTACTAACTACTCAGACACTCAAAAAAAATTCTTTCTAATGTTTCTGTGCCTCATCTGGGTACTAGGTTTCCACCTGTGTCCCCATGTTCGTGTTCCACCCGTGCTAAAGAGTTTGTCTTTGTCCACCCTGTCAATTCCCCCTGAGAATTTTGTAGGTGGTTATTATGTCTCCCCTTACTCTTCTGTTTTCCAGGGATGTGAGGTTTAGCTCCCTTAGCCTTTCTTCATAGCTCATACCTCTCAGTTCCGGGACTAGTCTGGTGGCATACTTCTGAATCTTCTCTTAACTTTGTCTTGTGTTTAACTAGGTATGGACTCCAGACTGGAGCTGCATACTCCAGGATTGGTCTGACCTATGCAGTATACAAGGTTCTGAATGATTCTTTACACAAGTTTCTAAAGGCAGTTCTTATGTTGGCCAATGTAACATACGCTGCTGATACTCGTTTGGTGTGGGCCTCTGGGGACAGGTTCGGTGGAGTATCAACCCCCAGATCTTTCTCTCTATTTGACTCTTGCAGGATATCACCTCCCAGATGGTACATCGTGTTCAGGGTTCTGCTCCCTTTGCCTAATTTCATTACTTTACACTTTCTTGAGTTGAACTTTAGTAGCCATTTTCTAGACCATTCCTCCAGTTTGTTCAGTTAGTCCTGTAGTCTCTGTCTATCTTGATTCTTCTCATAATTTTTGCGCCATCAGTAAATATTAAGAGGAATGGGTCAATACCATCTGGAAGGTCATTTACATATATTAGAAACAGGATGGGTCCAAGAACAGAGCCCTGTGGGACTCCGCTGGGGACATCTTGCCATTCTGATGTCTCCCCTCCCCTCACAGTTACTCACTGTTTCCTATTGCTTAGATACCTTCTTATCCACTGAAGCACCTTACCTTTTACTACTGCCTGTTGCTCCAACTTTTGTAACAGCATTTTGTGTGTGTGCGCGCGCAATTAATGATTAATTAACCTGCACTTCTGTAAGGAGCCGCACTAACAGTAACTACCACCAACACTGCTGGAGGCTGCAGCACCAGGTCACTCTGTACACTTTATAACAAATTGTATTTTCTTATACAGTATTAAATACCTATTTGCTTCAAACTTAAACGTATTGAATTATGTTTTTATATAAAATGTAGTACAGTAAACAAATAAGCTCATATTATATGTTGTATTTAGGATACAAAATATATTACTGTTGCTAACCTCCTGTATCGTTAGATCTTAACAGCTGCTGCAAATCTGTACATAATTACAAAGTAAATTTAACTTGCAAACAAAGCAACAGAGTGGTCACTACTAAATACATAGTAAAAACTTATATTTTAACAAACTTCTCAACTTTGCGAATTTAAAAAGAAATATCATCAAACATTTCTATCAAAACTGTACACAACACAACACATGTATCTTGTAATGTGTTTCCTAAACAAACAATGGGAATGACATTAGCAATGCTGTTCTTGCAATAAACAATGATATTCTTGGTAAAAAATAGTCTTCATATTAACAATGCTGTTCTTAATACAAAAAGTCCAAATTTACCAGTTTTATCTAAATTCTATAAGTTGTATTACCTTGACTTGTGTGTTGTGCCGGGAGGAGCGCCGCTGCCCCCGCCCGCCTCACCCGGCACAGACACTGGGTTAAAAAATGTATCTTCTAGTGATTTAACACGAAGAATACATAGTGACCATACACTGTACATAATGTTCATATGCTTATTTGTTGTCAATATATACATACTTAATGTTCATATACATATTTGTTGTCCATATACATACCAAATGTCCCACATATATATATATATATATATATATACACTTAATGTCTATATAATACTTCATATCCATCTATTTACTTAGTAACCATATCTATACTTTAAAAAAATCTTGGTATCCACAAGCATATGTTAAACACTGCATTTCTGGGTGCCTCCCGGTGCCGGCATCAGTAATATGTATATTGCCTTACACACGCTTTTCGTGTATAATGTATGTATATGCTGCATGTATTGATCACGAATATGGACCAAAAGAATTTGAAATGTGGTACTCAGTTCCTCCCAGTACAAACTAGAAGGAAAATTGCAACTTTTAGGATTGAATCACATCAATATTTAACTGACAATGCAATCGCTTTTACCATTCCCAGGAGCCAAGGGTCACATCCTAATGACACGAAGCTGTAACACTGTACTATACCCATGATCTTCCTAATCTTCCTGAAAGTAACATATTTTATATTCCAGAATTTGATGGCGAACAAAAGAACTTGTCTGATACATATGACAAAATTAACATATGTTAAAAAGAGCATAAAAACCAATCAGATCATTTAAGACTTGCAGTTCTGGAGATAAGGATCACATTAAAACAAATGTGATTTACGAATTATTAGATTTACCTCGTCCCAATCTTAGCCAAGCTACAGCAGTTTAGGATCAATATAAAGTTTGTTGTGCTTGCGGGGGTTGAGCTTTGGCTCTTTGGTTCTGCCTCTCAACCGTCAATCTACTGGTGTAAAGATTCCTGAGCTTCTCGAGCTCTTTCATATCTACATTTGATAGAGCTCGAGCTCAGGAATCTGTACACTAGTAAATTGACGGTTGAGAGGCGGGACCAAAGAGCCAAAGGTCAACCCCCGCAAGCACAACTAGGTGAGTGCATACACATGCGAGAGAATGTCTCGTGTGTGTGTGTGTGTATTCACCTATATTTGTGCTTGTGGGGGTTGAGCTCTCCCTCTTTGGTGTGTGTGTATATATATATATATATATATATATATATATATATATATATATATATATATATATATATATTATATATATATGTCATTAGAGTACATTGTATTGCACCGCTGAGCTGTTCCAGTTAAGGTTATGAAATGTATTGCACTCAATAAATATTTTAATAAACTGTTTTTATAGATTTCCAATTTAATACAGACAAAATATATCGTCTGCACAGAGGTGTACCATTTAAAGTTTCACAGCCTATTCCCGTGCATTCATTGTGAATAGTCGTAGTCTCCGTGGTGTAGTGGTAAGACACTCGCCTGGCGTTCCGCGAGCGCTTTGTCGTGGGTTCGTATCCTGGCCGGGGAGGATTTACTGGGCGCAAATCCTTAACTGTAGCCTCTGTTTAACTCAACAATAAAATGTGTACTTGGTTGTAAAAACGATTCTTCGCGGCGGGGATCGTATTCCAGGGACCTGCCCGAAACGCTACGCGTACTAGTGGCTGTACAAGAACGTACAAACTCTTGTATATATCTCAAAATATTAGAATCGATTATTAGTGTTGCAATAGCGAGCTTTTCAAAGGGAGAGAAAGCAGGAGTTGTGTTTTTGTAATTTGAATTAAAATCTCTGATGAAGGAACATAAATAAGAATGTTAGCTACTGTTATGCCAGTCTAAGAATACGGACTACTGTAGTTTCAAACTAAAAATAATAATATCGATTTGGCAAACTATAGTGATTGTGACTAAGTAATGGTCAACCAATAGTCAAAATATAGTGATATATGGCCAATGTATGGTGGCTGACTTGGTATGGTAGATTTTCTCAGATGTATTACTTTATTGTGAATTCATTGTGAATGTGGACAGTATATATTAACTGTCTACGCCTGGATAATGGTCTCTGTACTGTAACTACTGTCAGTGCATGGAGACTGTATGACTGGGTAACATAAAATTTGGGGCTTCGGAGGGTAGGCTGTGCCATGGGTTCACTATGGGTGAACAAATTTCTAGACCAGTCGAACTGAGTTACAAGCAGACAGTTGGATTTCAAGATAGAGCTAGTATATACTATCTTAAAGCCACTAATACGTACAGTTTCGGGAAAGATGTGGGAAAAACTAATCGAGATCAAAAGCATGAATTGAACTGAAGTGTTAGAAAGAATTACAATACTGTATTTACATGTTGAATTAACAGCAGCAATTGCAAGAGCAGCAGATATTAAATTATGAATAAATAAACAGACTACAATTTTCTTTTTATACATGGTAGATATCAGCAGTGTGACAAAGTCATTGATCATTAAAGTTCAATAATAGCAAAGACATAAGTTGACATTTAGGAGGTGAGGTAGGTTACAAGGCGTTGATGTAAGTAGAACTTAATTTTTCTCTTAAACTGGTAGATAGAGGGTCAGTCTTTGACATTGGAAAAATCAATCCACATTTTGGAACCTTTGATTTGCATATAGTTTCTAGGTTGGTTAAGTCACACTCTTGTATTCAAACAAAGATATTTGTTGCTAGTGTGGTGCCCATGAGTTTTGTTATAACCCTCTATGAAGCGTTTAAGGTCAGGATTAGATTTGTGGGGAAAACTGCCGAGATTGATATGAGAGGAGAACTACAAGGGACTTGTATTGTACTAAAATTAAAAAATTACTGTTTGCAAAATTAATTCAACTAAAGTCTCTAGCTAGGGTCGTAAATCCTAGCTCCTCTTTTTCCTAATGACAGACAGTGGGCTGTAAGGGGCAGGTGGGGATGAATGAAGAAGTTGATTGAAGCTCCATAATCCACCTGCAGGCAATTATCTCACATCAGCTTGTATTTTTAATACAAGGATAAGATTTTAATAAATTCAGTTCTATGACTGAACACTGGTTCTCTTTAATGATGCACTTATTAGTATGATTAACTTGATACATGCAGCTCTTGATAAAAATGAGTTCCCTGTTGGGTTATTTGTGGACCTGCGTAAGGCTTTTGACACTGTCAACCACCAAAACCTTCTTCTTAAATTACATCATTATGGAGTCAGAGGTCACTCCCTGCAATACCTCAAATCTTACCTTACTGACAGGCTCCAGTATGTTTCTGTGAATAATTCAATTTCTCCCACCCTACCAATCAACATTGGTGTTCCTCAGGGCAGCATACTTGGCCCTCTCCTCTTTCTAGTCTACATTAAGGACCTTCCAAATGCTTCCCAACACCACAAACCAATTGTAGTGAACACTGAACTGTAATGCCAATCCTGACCTTAAAAGCTTTATTGAAGGTTGTAACAGAACCCATGAGCACCACACCAGAATCAAATACCTTTTTGATATTCCAAGAGTACGACTTAATCAAACTAGAAATGCTCTACAAATCAAGGGACTCAGAATGTGGAATGACCTTCCCAATCATGTTAAAGACTGTACCTCTGTACCAGTTTAAGATAAAAACTAAGCACTACCTAATTAACTCCCTGTAACCTACCTTACCCCTATAATGTCAACCCATGTTTGTTATTTTTTAAACAGTGCTGTTTGTCGTCCAAATTGTATTTTTGCTGTTTTTCTGCCATATTCCCCCCTTTTTTATTTTTATATTTTCTCAACACATTTCATACTTTAATCTCAATTAGTATTAAGTTTTAGTCTTTAGTGTTTTTCCTGCCCTTTATATGGGCAGTGGCTTTAGGAACCGTATGTACTAGCTCTATCTATAACTTCATCAATATTTGTATCACCCCTTGTATGTATGTACTTTACCTAAATAAACATTTGAATTTGAATTTTAAATCAGGGATTTAAACATGTACATAGTCCAGCCCAGCACCATATCTATCAACAGCCAATATTCATTTACTATAAACACAACAATTTTAATTGTAGAAGTATCATATTAAATGACCTTAAATGTAGTCCAAGTACTAAAGTCTTAACTAAGTAACTAAGTACTAGTTAACTAAGTATTGAAGATTATATTCAATAGGTTAAACTTATATTATAAATTAAAGATAACTAAGAAAGCAATAGTTAACTTAATCTATATGTTCAAGTATATATATGTAGATATATTAAATTTTCTCATCTCTCTCATCTCTATATTCTCTCATCTACTATACTCTCTATATTCTCTCAACTGTTATTTTTTTCTTGCTATGTAACTTATAATTTTTATAAATTTTGCAAGTATTTACCTACTTAAAATTTTCTTAGATTAAGGACCTGCCCGAAATGCAGCGCGTACTAGTGGCTTTACAAGAATGTAATTACTATGCTATGTATCCTCACAATCCCAATGTACCTTCTTGTATATATATATAAAAATAAATAAAAAATAAATAAATTATATGAAGAGGTTCAGTCACCTCGACTGAAACTCTTCCCAGACTAGGGACACTTATGAGGTAGTGAACCTCAAGTGTCTGAGGTCCGGAAAAAGATTCAGTCGCTGCAAGATTTTTTAACGAATACTCACTGAAATATGAGGTGTTGCCTCACTGGCCAATTAATACACTAAATAACATTCAATATAATTCTCTAAATGCCGAAGCCTGTCTGACAAGTGACACAGGATAACTCTCTTGTCGAGTTTAGGCACAATATTTTATATCACAGCTTTGCTGTAAAATGTTCTAGTAGCGTTGCTAATTGATTATGTTCTTAATTGCGGTTGCAATAAGTTAGATAAGTGATATATAAATTCATCAATATTTGTATCACACCCTGTATGTTTGAATTTGAATGATGGTGGAGGTGGAGACGACAGCGATACTTATTTACTTACACATGTTCTAGGAATTTTTCCTTGTAGATATATTGTCCAGGTACTCCCCAAGTTCTAGAGAGTAATCGCTGGTGATAAAGATAATTGGATAAGGTGTCCTAAGCTGAATAATTGTTCGCAAGGCACCGTCACAAGTTTTCACTGTTTTGTAAACACACGTTCTGCCTCAGGGCGTGTGGTGGGCGCTTCTCTCCCACCCATCGTCCCCTCCCCCATGCTCCCTGAGCACGGTAGCCTTCAATGAATATTGAGTGATTATTTTTACTGTCTAGACATATGATTGAGATGTGATTATAATATAATTACATATAAGATCTGCCCGAAACGCTTTGCGTAATAGTGGCTTTAGGCATTGTATGTACTAGCTCTATCTATAAAGCCAACAAACTTTGTAAAATCTCTATGTATGTACCTTTACCTAAATAAAAATTATTATTATTATTATTATTTAAAGATAAGTAGTACTTGCTAGCACTATTGATTCTTAAAGATTTGATTTAATCCCTACCGGAAATCGATTCAATTGTTCCAATAGTTTTTTAATTAAGAAATCATTCTAGAAGCTTCTGGATCCTTGACAAATCATGTACAAAGTCGCGTAGGCAACCATGGGCTCTATGGTAGTAAGTGATCATAGGCGACATTGTCTTGTAGGATCCAGATGTATAATGAATCTGTAGTGATTCTGATGATTTTGTTATGATTTAGATATAAAGAAATAATGCATTTCTTAGATAATAATATAGATATAGTGGGTAAAAATTTCCAACAAGATTTTCATTTCAGTTCTATAGTCTGTATATATATATATTTATACCTCGCCCAGTCTTGGTGATATTTTTTTTAAGTTAAAACTAGCAGAAATATGGCGAAACCTATCTTAACCTACCCTAGACTAACATAACTAAATCAGAAATTCACGATCTTATATATTATTCCAAATAATCCAAATTTGATTTTTTCTTTAATAAAAATGTCCCTGCCTATTAGGCAAATCACGCTTTGCATACTATGCGAGTAGTGCATTTTGGCTATTAGGTTCATTATTGGTATATATTCCATTATCTATATTCCAACAATTTAAGTAGCAGATAAGCCTTCTAATGCAGGACTGAAACTGGACAATAAAATATAAATGATGATTAACTTTTATTAATACAAAATCAGCACTCTGAAATATAACACAGCCAATATACTTATATCTAACACGCTTAATCTACTGATTAAGCCATGACTAGTGAAACTATAAAATTGATGATAAAAGTTGCATAACGTTAGTGACAGATGGTAAATTTAAGTGCACATGTTACAGGAAAGTTAATATTGTGGTTGTCCATGAGCATTGTTGTGACTGGTAGGTCCATCCACAGCGAGTAGTGACATGTTTACAGTGTCAGCAGTTTATAAAGTAATATAGTTATGAGAAAATGTAAGCAAATGGTTATAAAAATAAAGCTTCAAAAAAAGCTGTACAGTTCTGAAATGACACGCATAGATTGGCTAAATTCGATTTGGATGGCGATACTACAAGAGTGGTGTTTGTCCTCTAGTCAGTCTTGCCTCATCCACGAACCCCATTATCTACTGCTGCTTCCAGTCCATACACGACCCTCATGGATGCCTGCTCATTCCCGATTTGGAGGAAGATACTACAGGAGTGAAGGGGGTTCATGTCCCATAGTCTTGCTTCATCCACGAACCCCACTATCTACTGCCGCTTCCAGTCCATACGCGACCTGACATGGATGCCTGCTCTTAGAAAGAACAATTCTTCATCTGGCCCTGCCCCCTGGATTAATGGTGTTTGTCTGCCCCCTGCCACGTTCGACCATGACCAAGTCATAACTGTTCCAAGCTTGTCCACTCATCTCAACAATTGAGCCAAAAGGGGAATCTGTAATCGGTGAATTTGGGTGAAAGAATATTTCCTCAATAGATTCAGCCACATGTATGCATTGAAGCACTTGGAATAAATGTATGGGAATACAAGATGAAATTTAGAATAATGAAAACTAGTCATTTATGCCTTAATCCTAAAACTTTTGAGGGTGATGTTTAGTATTATTGTCAAAATTTTGTACATAATTGTCAACAACGAAAAAGCTTAATGTAGGCTACAATTACAAGCTTCATACTTACCACACCCAACTAAAATTATGAATCTTACCGTTTATGAAGGCAAGACATCCACGCAAGATGATCGTGCCCTCCCATTTTTCTTGTCGAAGTTCCTCCTCTTGCCAGATGGAACTGTAGCTGTAGAATCCTTCTCCAGCTCTCACAGAGTTATGGGTATGCTATGTAACTAAGTAACTAAAGCTAACACACCCTTCTCTACTTCCTGTTTCGACTTCACTGAATAAACAGACCCTGTGCATCTGCTGGTTTCAAGTGTTCTCGGCGACCACGCCCATCCTCTTCCACTCGTCCCTTCGACGGTGGCGACCACGCCCGTCCCCTTCCACACCGTTCCTTCGACCACGCCCGTCCTCTTGCACACCGTTCCTTCGACCACGCCCGTCCTCTTGCACACCGTTCCTTCGACCACGCCCGTCCTCTTGCACACCGTTCCGTCGACCACGCCCGTCCTCTTGCACACCGTTACTTCGACCACGCCCGTCCTCTTCCACGCAATCCCTTCGACCACGCCCGTCCTCTTCCACACAATCCTTTCGACCACGCCCGTCCTCTTCCACACAATCCCTTCGACCACGCCCGTCCTCTTGCACACCGTTCCTTCGACCACGCCCGTCCTCTTCCATACAGTCCCTTCGACCACGCCCGTCCTCTTCCACACAATCCCTTCGACCACGCCCGTCCTCTTCCACACAATCCCTTCGACCACGCCCGTCCTCTGCCACACAATCCCTTCGACCACGCCCGTCCTCTTCCGCACAATCCCTTCGACCACGCCCGTCCTCTTCCACACAATCCCTTCGACCACGCCCGTCCTCTTCCACACAATCCCTTCGACCACGCCCGTCCTCTTCCACACAATCCCTTCGACCACGCCCGTCCTCTTCCACACAATCCCTTCGACCACGCCCGTCCTCTTCCACACAATCCCTTCGACCACGCCCGTCCTCTTCCCCAGTCCCTTCGACCAAGCCCGTCCTCTTCCACTCGTCCCGTCTTCTTCCACACAGACCCTTTGACTATGTCGGTCACTCCTATCATCTTCCAGTTTCTTCGACCACGCCCATCCTCCTCCACCCGTCCCCTAGATGGTTGCAGTCGGCCTCTTCCACTCGGAAAGACCACGTCCATTCTCTTCCATTCGAATCTTGGTTGAAGGCGACCACATCCATCCATTCTTTTCCGCTCGTACCTTTGCTGAATGCAGCCATGTCCATACTCCTCCACTCGTGCCTTTGTTGAAGGCAGCAGCCATGTCCTTCTCTTGTGCCTTAGCTGACGGCGACCACGTCCTCCCACTCCTGCCCCTGAAGGCGTCCACGTCCATACTCCTCTGCCCGTACCCTTGCTGGAGGCAGCCACGTCATACTTCTTTGCCCATACCTTGCCACGTCCATCTTCTTCCACTCATCCCGTTGCCGATCACGACAATCCCGACCTTTATTGCCAAAAAAAAAAAAAAGCCTCTGCCGAAGGCAACTTTTGCAATCTTACCTCCTGATTTAGTGCGGCCTACCTCGGGCCTCTATAGCTGCTGATGCCGCAACACATTTACTTGTCCATACTCTGCTGTATGGAACTATCATAATTCCCGTATCTTGGCGCTGAAATATGTACATCTGCCATCCTTCATCACTTCCATATAGAGGGGGGGGGTTTGTTGTTGCAAATGTCAGTCTTAAATGGCGAGCCCAAACCGTGAATATACATACTATAGAACATGCTCTCCTACATTATTTTTTTTTTAAGGTCCCAAATCTAGGACATTGTTAGAATTGAAAACAGCTCAATTCAGCACCTTTTAAAACCTGTAGAACTAATATATCTACAATAAAATAAAAATAAATGGGAAATTTATCATCTTTCCTATATAAAGAACCATGTAGTGCATGTTCCGTGTGTAAAAGGTGTGTAGACTATTTTGTACTCATCTGGCCACAATTTATGGTCCATGGTTCTATAAAGGATCAAATTCCTCCTTAGTTCCCACAGCCATGTCCTAAAGTAGTAATGTCAGTTCTTTTACTGGTAATGTACATTTCTGAAGTAACCACACATGTACTTGTGCATTAGACATTCCTGAAGTTAGAATACCCCCAAAGAAATATTTGGCATTTTCTAGATATTTAAAACTTGTACAAGAAAGTAGTTTAAATATGGGGGAATGGTATCCTGGTAGTAGAGGCATACCTGCATATTGGAAGAAAAAATATTCATTTTGTCACTTGCTGTTATGTAGAAAATTTCCCAAATTGTACCTTTGTTAGTTGAGAGGTAGAGCTGCCTAGAGTTGCAAATATAAATATAATCTTGGTGTGCATTGTTTAGACCAGATAATTTAATTTCCAAATTGAGTAAAGCTTTCAAATTGAAAAAAAACTTCATGATGGCACGTTCCAATATCAGTCACTTAGTTCCAATAAAATAGAGCAGAAGAGTTTTCATGCTATTCATGTAGTTAGTTCAAAACACAGTAGCTTCCAGTAACATATCACAAAACACAGTAGCTTCCAGTAACATATCACAAAACACAGTAGCTTCCAATAACATATCACATTCCAGTCAAAACATTTAAAAACGTCCAGTGTAATATTGGTCCGAGCTTCAAATTAATGATTTGACCGATCTTTAGTAAAATGTTCTCTTCTGCCTCGATTCCTCGCCAGTGGCATATTTTGCCAAGAAACATGTAGTCAACACTAATAGTATTGTACCATTAATACTTAAGAATTTTTTAATAAGTTTCCTTTCCAAATAGTTCAGAATTTCATATGCAAAATATAAAATCTTCGTAAAGCATTTGCTTGAATAGTACTCGTAAAGCTCGTTTATACACCTATCAAGTTGCAGACAGCGTGAGAAGCAAGTCATCATTAGTCTCTTCCTATTCACGGTAATGTTAATATTATTTTTATAGGTCTGGCAAATGACATACAGCTTGCATGTTATTCAGGGGCATGGGAGACTCCAAATTATAGCTGCACTTATTTTTCGATGTCAACCATTTTCAATATTTAAATTCTATATTAAGATATCCTTTTCATTCTGTTCAGCTTTTCTGTTGATACAATTCCTCGTTTCTCAATTTGTCAACGCCCGGTTTTGAAATACATCGGTATTACCTTGTTTGAAACTTCATATAACCTAGGCTGTAGCCAATATAAGTTCATATTCTGAAGGTTAAAAAAAACTAACTGCCCCAATAAAAAAAAAATTGGGTGGGGGCTAGCTTAAGGCACTTTGCATTTTCTATCACAGCCTTTACGATTAATAATCCCAAATCTTTAAGCCCAAGCAACTTGTAACATTCCCTTGAACAAATTATGAGCTTACAGTAATTTTCTTCCCATTACAGAATGTTGTACCCCAGATGGCAGCTTAAAAGACCCATACCAATCTGAAATATTAGAAAACACAAAATAAGATTTTGATATTCTCTTACTATAAATATTAACAGCATAAGTAATCTGTTACATTACTTGATATTTATTTTATTATACTTCACTATAAACTTTTCAGTAACTTGAGTGTGCGCTTCATAAGCACTTCATCCTGGTGTGCTTATGAAGATGCAAACAATTCTCGGTAGGACTGGTCAAAGCAAAACAAGACACCACGTATTTCTACTCACCTGTTAAGAGATGCGGTTATTAAGATGCTACAACAGCTCCATGCATCATCCAGTTACGGTGCTACTTTAGGTTTAAAACAACACTTCCACCTTCTAGCAATCTGTTGTTCCTGCCAATTGGACGATTTATGCAACTATCCATCCTAAGGAGCTTTCTTTTCCATGGATGCTGCACCCATACTATAATTCCCATCGACAGTCCTCAATGCAGCCTCTGCAACTCCCTATGCACACCATAGCAGCCTACATTGCTGGCAGCCCCCAAAACAACCTGGGATCCAAGGAATGAGGGATGTTATAGCACTTATTTTGAAATCAAGATTAAAAATACAGCAATATTTACTATAACTAATTTTCCAAATACTTGTATTATTATAATGTATAATAAATAGGTATATATACCTATAAATGCCAAAAACAAACCAGCTTATTTGGGTTTGTTATGTCTACGTAATCCACTATTACAATTAATACCTTTCCCTAACCTGTAAGAGGATGGTGAGGCGAGGAGAGGACTGCAGCACACAAGTGCTATCATAATCGGCCCTTGCCACCTCATGGGTGGCTTAATCTTCATCAATTAATCATAATCTGCATTACGGGCTATTCTTGCCTGTGCCACCTCTTTGGTAGCTTTATCTTCTTCAATCAATAATCGGCAGTCTACTTTCACGTTCAGTGCAGACGCTCTTATAGACACCATACCCTTCAATAGCCTCGCCATGTTTCACCTGCAAACTTCTGTATACTATATTCGTCCAAATACATGTATTCTCTTAAGCGTCTATGTTAATTGTCACAATAAACATACGTTACACATACAGCTAATACAATATTTCCTATAAATTATCAGTGATTTTGCACATTTTCTTTGTATGAGAATTTCAAGAAAGAAAAAAAGTTTAAAACTTGGTATAGAACATTACTAATCACCCATCCTGGGCCCCAGCTCCGAGTCCACAACCAACCAACCATCCGTCGGCCCCAGCTCCGCGTCCATAACCAACCATCCGTCGGCCCCAGCTCCGCGTCCATAACCAACCATCCGCCGGCCCCATCTCCGCGTCCATAGCCAACCAACCATCCGTCGGCCTCAACTCCGCGTCCCATCCGCCGGCCCCAGCTCCGCGTCCACAACCAACCATCCGTCGGCCCCAGCTCCGCGTCCACAACCAACCATCCGTCGGCCACAGCTCCGCGTCCACAACCAACCATCCGTCGGCCCCAGCTCCGCGTTCACAACCAACCATCCGTCGGCCCCAGCTCCGCGTCCATAACCAACCAACCATCCGTCGGCCCCAGCTCCGCGTTCACAACCAACCATCCGTCGGCCCCAGCTCCGCGTCCATAACTAACCAACCATCCGTCGGCCCCAGCTCCGCGTCTATAACCTACCATCCGTCGGCCCCAGCTCCGCGTCTATAACCTACCATCCGTCGACCCCAGCTCCGCGTCCATAACCAACCATCCGCCGGCCCCAGCTCCACGTCCACAACCAACCATCCGTCGGCTCCAGCTCCGCGTCCACAACCAACCATCCGTCGGCTCCAGCTCCGCGTCCACAACCAACCATCCGTCGGCTCCAGCTCCGCGTCCACAACCAACCATCCGCCGGCCCCAGCTCCGCGTCCACAACCAACCATCCGCCGGCCCCAGCTCCGCGTCCACAACCAACCATCCGTCGGCTCCAGCTCCGCGTCCACAACCAACCATCCGTCGGCTCCAGCTCCGCGTCCACAACCAACCATCCGTCGGCTCCAGCTCCGCGTCCACAACCAACCATCCGTCGGCTCCAGCTCCGCGTCCACAACCAACCATCCGTCGGCTCCAGCTCCGCGTCCACAACTAACCATCCGTCGGCTCCACCTCCGCGTCCACAACCAACCATCCGTCGGCCCCAGCTCCGCGTCCACAACCAACCATCCGTCGGCCTCATCGCCGCATCCTCAACCAACCACCCATGGGCCATGGGCGGGCCCCATCGCCGCGTCCGTCCAACCTTGAGTCCCATTGCTGCATCCAACCAACAGAGGGAGGCTCCAGTGCAGCAACCAACCAACAGAGGGAAGTTCCAGTGCAGCAACCAACCAACAGAGGGAAGTTCCAGTGCAGCAACCAACCAACCAACAGAGGAGTCACAGTGCAGCAACCAATCAACAGAGGGGTCCCAGTGCAGTAACCAATCAACAGAGGGGTCCCAGTGCAGCAACACGCAAGGGCCAAGGCAGCAAGCACCAGGATTCATTGCCACAGAAGCAGTTGTGGGCTTCACTGTGGGTCGAACCAGTGCCTCTTCTAAGCAATGATCGAGTAGCACACAAGCAGTTCCCTCATGAGCTTGTAGCAGTCATTCATGGGAATAGAACACCCCTACTTGAGCTCAAGTCGCCCAGCTTGTATCAATCATACTAGCCACCAAGTATGAATACCTATAAAGAACACAATAGTATACAATAATAAGAGATTTCTGGAAGATTTAATATTTCTTTCACTTTATTATGAAATGTTGTATTTGAATTGGTTAATTTTTGTAATCGGCACCAACCTGTTATTAAAGTCTGCATCCAAACATGTCGAGCAAGATTTCCAAATACCAAAACTTGAACCCTTAAATATTATGTACATCCTCTGATGATTCAAATAACAGTATCTCCTAGTAGACTCCTAGTGTAGTGCAAGTGTACTTCAAGGTGAAT